TTCTTTAAAACTCCATAAATATAAAGTTGCAGTGAAACATCCCAAATTCCCTGTGCTTGTAACAAAATCAGATTATTTACTTCATCCAGTAGCTCATGTTCACATTCTAAATTTAATTTAAATATCATCTCAGCTGTAGACACAGCATTGGTTGTCTACCAAAAAGGCAGGAGCAGAAGCCAAATGGGAAACATGACAGTAATCAATTTCCATTCCCATGGCGTTGGGAAGGCACCTGATCTGAGGTGTCTGCTCTAGGAAAAGAAGCCCTGGTGGCACAGTGGTTAAGTGCTTGGCTGCTAACTGAAAGGTCAGTGGTTCAAACCCACCAGCCACTCCACGGGAGAAAGATGTAGCAGTCTGCTTCCATAAAGATTACAGCCTTGGAAATGCTATGGGGCAGCTCTACTCTGTCCTGTATGGTAGCTATGAGTCGGAATGGACTCGACGGCATCGGGTTTGGTTTTTGGTTTTGGCTCTGGAAAAGGCAGCGAGCACCAGCCACCACTTGTAATGCTCTCCTGTTCTTATCTTGTAGGCTTTCATATCGGACTGGGCAAGACACAGCTAATTGTGACACATGCAGGAACAGTGCATGTATTATCTATAGGTATGTTCATGTTCTCCTCTTCCCGCTGTTTTATGATGAGTGACAAATGATGTTTACCCACGAATGCGAGAACCATGTGGGGCCCTGCCGGGAGGATTCCATCAGACACAGAGTAAAGGGCCTTCTCTGACCATCGTTCTAAGCTATCTGTAAACGCTCGAACCCAGGTATGTCAGCACGGGATCAGGTAGAGCTTGACCCATTTATCTTGCAAATGCATCTTCTTGGTTTCAAGGACTGGTGTAAGTTTGATGGCTTGTTCCCTCGGAATCAATAGCCATGAGCACTGTACAGTGTGTTCTGGAAAGTCTGTGAAATATAACCCCTTCAGATGGTATAGATCAAAGGCCTGAAAGCACACTGCATGTGCTAGGAATACCAGGCAAGGGCACAGGCTGCTCATCCCGAATATACCGTTCATTTCCAGGGTACTCA